TGTCGCGCGAGAAAAAAGGGTTTGGGAGTGCGCGAAAGTGAAAGATTTCGTGCATGTACACGAATTTGGTACCATGTACCGGGCCACTTCCCTTTATCAGATGCTAGGATAAAATACACAGTCTGCGCCTCGCCGATACAGAGAACAATATAATATATAAATAGAAGTATGTTTTTTATACTGTTTGTAGTCTCGTACTGATGCAGTATGACTGTTATGTGGATGGCTATAATATGCACGTTTGGCTGTAGCAGCAAACTTTATTATCATTCGTATTATAGTCCTTGTTATCATTCTTATATAGATATGATGTATCCGCACTTTTCCTATGGGATACTACACAGTATACTTATGGCCGTATAGCGTATACAATAACATGGTGAGACTCAAACGCCATTGTATAAAATCGTGCATAGTGTATCGAACAAACGTATTCGCATTGATAAATTAATAACTTCCTGAAAGATATATGTACGAACCTCGTACCTGCGAAATTTTACTTAAAAACTAAAAAAGTGAATCAATGGACCGGTAATATTTGCCAGTCATGATGGTTTCTTACGCGGCGTGAAACAAAAGGATCCACATTGCCGTTTCTTGTGTAAGACAGATGGCAAAGACTTTTACGGGATACACTATACGTATGTAGGCGGTTAAAAATTACAATTAGCGTATTAATCCGCTCGTTTCACGCTGCCTCTGTTGAATGGAAAACGTTTCACACCGTTGCTTAGCGCTTTTGAATGGAACTGCTTATGACAGTGCATAACTTTCCACTGGTCAACGCGGCACTGCATAGCGTGAAGATGAGCCATCAAAATATTTCTTCACAAAAGAAATAAAACTGTTGACTCACTGCCGTGTGGTCATACCGCATGCAATGCCTCAGCCTACCTGAATATCGACTGATTGCTTGTTAACGTTATGAAACTGCCACATACGCACGTAGATTCCAAGAACGCTTTCATTAATTTAGATTCATAACTGCTTGTTTCATAATTCATAACGCAGATATGCAGAAAAGTTATATTTCATGTCTCGTTACGCTAACGATCGGCATAATACAGTTAGCAATTCATTCGGTTTCAGCAACGTACCGGTATCAGGGAAGTTATATAACCTATGGAACGGTATGTAAGACGGTGCCTGATATTATCGGCTTCCTGCAACAAATGATCATGGGGCTATCTTTTAGTTGCTGTGCGCAATTTTTTGTTATTCATTTGGGTTTTTGTTTGCTATACTGATTCGTATCATTCTTATTATACACTGAAATTATGGCAACGTTGGGAATATTAACACGATTTTTCCCTTATTTACTGTACCATTTAGTGCTGAAACAGATATTCCGCGTGTTTATAGGGCGATACAATAGTGTACACGTTCCATCAGCATGGAGGGCCACGATATCCGCAACGGAAATGGTTGGTCGAGTGCCTTGACGGAGAAGCCGCAGTGGGTGAGAAAATTATAACAAAAAGCATATTGTTGTAAAAAATACACTGTAAACTAAAAGCAGTAACAATTCTTGCGAGTGACCTTTAAGGAAATATTATAGATTGATTTCACATTGCAGGAGTCCAGTAAGTGGAAAGACATCCTTTTTTCTCGGATGTATTGTTGTATTTACTCGCTTTTGCAGAGACTTCATAGATGATTTTGAGGTAAGACAGGCCATGCCGTATGTGACATGATGCAGTGTTTTGACGCAATTTTTATGTTGTGCTGCTGCTGGTGTCAAGAGATTGCAGGTGCTATGGTGCAAGTTCATGTTCCCTTATAAACCACCATCAAACGGCCTATATCCATACTACTCAAAGTAGGCTGCATCAAACAATGGATTTCTAAACCGTTAAAGAATATAAAGGTTTACAAATTACTAAACAAAATGCTTGACCTTTCAGTTGCTTTTTGCGGAACTATACTTTTGTATTTTTCTGCTATGATGCTAAAAACTCCAGTTTGACCAAGAACAGTTTTAATACCGGTAAGTCGAATAAATATGTAAAAGTACAGTAAAAGCGCTTCGGAGGTATGTATATAAGTACAGTTGCTGATTGTTCAGGGGTGTTCGACGATGATCTCAATTGGTATATGTGGCGTCCCGTGGCCGATGCAACACCTGTGGCATGAAATGCTGCACGACGCCGAAAGGGTACTATATTGACTACGCCTCCTGCTGTGAGTAACACTACACTTCCGTAAATGAAATAGTAATAAGTTAAATAAATTTGTTTTCTTTTTGTCGTAGATTACGCTGTAACGCACGACCAGTACGGAGAATACTACGACTCGAACATCAACTTCGAGGTGGCCTGCATCCAAGGTTACGTGATGACCGGCATGGCCAAGAAGATCAACGCCATTTCGCAGGTGTATAACATTGACTGGATTCAATGTTGTCGCTTAGGGTATGAGAATACTATTACTTTAACAAGCTCGTAAACGATTTCAGTGCAGTTGTTAGGTTTTCTAGATACGGCATACCACAGGTCATATCGCCTCCGGTGATACAGAGTTACAGTGGGCATCCTGCGTACTACGCCAGTGGATTGTATAATCCATCGGCGATCCCCAGCGGTTACCAGGCTCAATACCGCGCTATGTCCGACGCACTAGACGTTTCTCAGAACATGACCAGATTCTCACCCAAGCGTGCGTGGTTTCGTAATGCACCACATCTGGAAGAACAGGCAGCACACAGCGACAAGTTGCTACTGTCCAGTGTGCTATGAAATGCTTTCTTGAAAGGCTGAAGTCTATGGCTAAAAATAACGAGTCTAACTAGAAACGTTTTTGTAAGCATAGATACTGATATGAGTACGTATTGGTATGAGTACGATCGATGCACCGATAGCCACGGTAAATCTGTCAGAGTGATACTCATTTCCAGATTTTTGCTGCGTGCTGATTTACATTTTTGGCGTTTTTAAATGTGTATTTATTGATCCAAAATCCCAGAAAAGGCACTCGACTGAAGAAGAATAAAGCATGAGGCCAAAAAACTTACAAATGCAATCGGTCCCACAATGCAGCATATACTTTTACAACATAGCGCCCTTTGTGCCACCTGTTTGCATTAAGACATTAACGTAGGCACATATTTGTATAACACTTGTTTAGACTCTACGATAAAAGAATAAATCTTGTTTAACCTTCATTTGAACCGATACTAACACCAATGACATGCGTTGGAGGTGCCGTATCTCGTTTCATCCCAACCGAAATGGTTCACTTCAGTTGCATCTCCTGGATGATTTGAGCCAATCTCTTTTTGACAGATGTCAAATATCTCAGGTGACGGCTCGTTTACTCCAAAAACTAAAACTAAAACGGTTAGAAACTTAAGAAGAAAAGAAAAGAAATTTGACGTCCGTTATTTTACGAGCACTATCAATACGAAAGTAAACCAACAGTAAATATATTAAACCGGCACTGTTCCTCGCATACAGTTCGACATCACGTGCGTAGGCGAACGTGCGCTTGTGACACGGGTACTCCAGTAGCATGACTTGACGCATTTTGTGTCCAGGGCATTTTGTACAGGACAAGAATCGACTCTTTCTTTATTTCACAATAGTTTCATAACAAAAACATGGCGACCGGCTCCTCCCGGATAACGGATAATGTTATTTTCGTAACCTTCGCTATTAAAGTTCTCCTGTTAATTCTGCTAACAAATCCTTGCGTAGTAGACAAACTCAAGGTGTCCGGCGATAATAAAACACAACAAACAAGAAAACCTTAGCACATATACTTGTCGGAAGTTAACAGCGAAGGTTAGTAGCCTCTCAAGTTTCACACCAGACATCCGTGACATCATCACCTCATCATCTTCTTGGGATGCCGGCACTTCTATGAATTGCTGCGTAGTGCGTACGGTGCTGCCGTCCGTGCACTGATTAAAATTTCACTGCTGTCATCCTTTCAAGTTCCTTGACAATTTTCAGAGATCGCGTGCGACTTTGTCATGGTGATGTCCCATTTTATTATAGATGCAGTCAATAAAAAATGTATGTCTGCAGAATATATTATACCAAAGACCCCGTATTAAGGAGTGCAGGTACGTGTGCAACGGTAACTACGCCGTCTAAAACGGTGCATGTTCTTTGTGTAAACAGTATATACACTAAGGGAAAGTTGATACTGTGCTTCCGGACATTACTATCCGGTGAACAGCTTATCAAGCATGCCGTGTGTACTATTCAGAAGATGCAGATGATGCAAAAACCATGCCTTTTTTGTGACTCAATAGTGTCTGTACCACGCAAGATAAACTCATCGACTTTTAAATTTCTAATGTATTGTTCTCTGCATGTCCAAGCAATATTGAGTCCATATCCAAGTAAATATTGATTTATTAAATTTCGATAATTTATGAAGGTTCATGGAATGAATTTCTACAGTTAATAAATCTTTGCTCCCGGTAAGACCTCTGTTTTTGCAGGCGTTAAACGAGCGTGTGCTTCAATTGCCAAAGCACAGCCACACTAATTAAGCACGCCGTGGAAGAGGAATCCGCCAAATACTTCGATAGCATTGTTTATAACACACTTGCATCTGAATAATTTCTGAGTCAACCCGGTTGTACGCCATCGCTTATCCAACCCGGTTTAATAACGGCTCCCTCCCAACCAGGTGTGTAGCGATATTAACGATTACGCATCCTGGAGCTTGCCATTTTCCCACCTGATCGCTTCATTAGCGCTCTATAATCTAAATGCATTACGGCAAAAAGTGAGCTAGCAGTAAGAGGATGTGTACGTAATTCTGTTCTGCGACTATCAGCTGCTACCTCTCGAGTAACTGGCAAGTGGCATCCCAGCATCCATAAGCTCTATCCCGGATCACCGTGACACCAGGACCTTCTATTTTCATTCTTTCGGGAGCACGCTGCTGATATGTTACGCAATACTGCAACGGGAAAATAGTACTATTTAAAATGTTTGTAATCGGCTCCTTACAGTAGTTCTCAAGTTAACATACAGCTTTTCATTATGATGGCAAACGAAACGGGTTTCAACAATTCCAACGCGACAAGCGGCAACGACACCGTACCAGCCGGCTTAAGTCCCGGGACCTACGGGCTCGTTATCAGTGTGACAATGATATGCGTCGGCACCATCGTCTACAATATTCTCATCATCATCGCATTTATTCGCGATTCCGCCGTGCGAAATCCTTTTTCGTACTACATCCTGAATGTCTCCATCACCGACCTGGCTTTGGCTCTGTTCAGCATGACCGGCTTCGTCTGGTTCACCTTATCACCCACATCCAACGCTAGTTATTGCCCGTACTACAACTTCTTTGATAACTTCTTCTCCACCAGTACCGCACATTCGGTGATGCTCATCAGTCTGGACCGGCTGTTTTCAGTATACTTTCCCATTCGTTACCGGAATTTGCGATCCGTGAAGTTCACAGTGATGATGTGCGCTGGAACGTGGATTTATTTGCTCTGCTTATTGATGCCGTACAATCTGATAGATGCGCTACGGTACAACGAAATGACCTTACCGTGTTCCATCAACTTCAAAATGCAGCATACGTATTCGTTAGTTGTCGAGTTTCTCGCGTATGATTTTCCGCCATGGTTCGTTTTGTTCAGCTATGTACTGGTCTTCTGGAAGTTACATGGACGAGCGAAGTTCAAACAGCAAGGTATGTAAATCAAAGAACTCCCAAATTAATTTGCTCACAATTTCTAGAGCTTCTTATTTGTTCAGGTTTCTCCAATAAAGTACACGGGGAAAAGAGTACCGTCATGCACAGTCACGCCCACACCAACGTCACGCATGTACATGCCATCGTCGTTACCGGAACAGAACCCAATGCAACAGCCAAAAAGAAACCCAAAGATCGTGATGAGAAGAAATTTTTTCGTCTCTTCGCACTGCTGGCGCTGTGCATTTTAGTCTGCTTTGTTCCAGGAAATATTTATTTCCTGTTGGTAGATTTCGTGCCGTATTGGAACGATGACGTCTACGCTGTTGTGGCTTGCTTGCAATATTTAAGTTGCATATTCAACCCGGTCATTTATCATTCCAGCCTCCCCACTTTACAGAAAGCGGTTAAAAACGTTATATTTTGCCGCTAAAGCCGTCTGCAGTTTTGGAGATGGCTGCATCAAAAATGCCCTGTGCAGTTCTCTATTCTCAGAAGCATTTATTTGACTAAGGGTCTAACTGAAATTTGAACAGAGATGTTTGATATGGAATTATTATCGACCGAGTATGTCTGCTTGTGATGTACTGTCACTTATATGTGTAATTTGTACATAGAAAGAGCAGACGCAGCTAATGCAATGTTAATCTTCAAAAAACATGCTTGTTGAGACATGTTGAGCGGTACTTTCATGGACACAATTATGCTAATCTGCAAACGGCATAAAAATGGCTTGATTGACAAGCTGTTCAGACTAATATGCTTATGCTCAGAGTACCGCTTCTGTTGTTACGAGTACATTCCCAATCTGCGGCAGACAGTTCGTAATGCGAGCAATTAAGTGGGAATAATTAAAAGCGATGGAACAATAGTTTCTACTTCACGCTACAAGTTTTCAGGCCGTTTTTCGATACAATAAAAAGCACGTGTGCTTATACAGTATACAGTATACAGAAGTACGTAGGATTATGGTGAAATTTGAAATTTGCATGCATAATGATTATCAAATTCCTTGCGACATCGTAACTCTCCACAAAAACCAACAGTATTTTACTTAGAAGCCTTCGCTCAACATGCCCGTTTTATTCGTTTATTGTCGCTTTATTTATTTATATTCAGTTTCCGCTATCAGTTCGCTTAACGAAGTAAGTGTCCACAAAGGATAATATGTCAAGCTGCTCTGGTATATTTCTATGGCAATGGAAACCGTTCTCGCTAGACGTAGCCAACTAATTACAAGGCGTTGACTGGACTTTTGTGTGGATCGCTTTTTATTGATTTCCAATTCTTCGGGTTTTTAAATCAATGAGGTTGCATAACTATGATCCTGAAATTAATGTGGTAGCTTATATGTACTATGTACCGTGTACGTACCGACACATCTGCACTGGTTAATAGTACGTACATTTGCTTTATCCCTTGATAGTGCAGCAGGTCATACCCGTAACAGATATTTGTGATATAGTTGGTAATATGATCCCTCGAAATGTGACCTGCCCGCAGAACTACATCCTTGTTATGGATTAAAAATTGACAAAATCTGGATTAAACTAGCGTGTGATCTGGAGCTCCGGTGTCTTTATTTGGGGCATCGGTTTCCCCTGTACAGATAGCTTGATGCTGCAAAGAAGTGCACTTTGTGCCTTGGGGAAAAGTGATAAATTCTATTTTATTGTTAATTGCTGTAATACCGGCAAGAAAGTTTTTCTTCTTTAGAATGCGGGTGGTAGGAACCATTCTCTTAACGACAAGTCGTATTATGAGAATCAAGGTGATCGTAATATAAGACCCAACTGGTACAGAGTAGTCGGAACGCCTTCGCTATCTAGCCGAGAACAAACTCGAACAAGTTTGTTCTCGGCTAGATTCTTATAATATGCGCTGCTACGAGGACAGTAATACCGCATTTGTGGCAGTTTACTATATTTTAACCAAGTCAAAATTAGCACGTACAGATAGTAAGCCTACCGCTTTAGGTTGCACGCTACTGGAAGCAGCAGCAGTTGTCTGTTATTTACGATTAAGTGTACGTAATGATATTTGTTAACCGCCATACGTGCACAAGTATTTGCTTTACATCTAAATCATCAACATACGTAATACGAAGGCTGCCACATCGTTGCGAAAGACTTGCGTTAAATTAACGTAAAGGTGATGGAACCACAGCACTTACATCTTTGCGGGTATGTTATTAATTTTGGTGACTGTCCTCGCCAACAAGATCGGCGATTCAGTGCTTACTTAATAATTAACAACAAGCAACAGCAGCGCAGCGCGCAATAAGCAACAGCAGAAGCTATAAACCATAATTTATGCATTGTCTTTACAGTGGACTCATAGCGTGTTAAATTAGCCAAATGGCAACACATTCTTGTCTTGTATCCTGTTTTCCCTTAAAGTCCCATCTTTAATTAATGGGAGATCACGCCAAGCTCGTTTACCGGCAAGCTTATGGTCGAGGCATCTGCTGACTGTTGACACAAATGCCAGCGATTCCACGTCACAGATAATTAAGGCAAATATGCTGTTTGCTATACATGACAATTCCCCACGGAGCCACCTATTGTCAGTTGCTGTCCGCGGTGCCGCAACGATCGGTTGGTGTTCTCCTTTGAGAATCCAGGCGATGTAAGATGCAGCAAAGAAAGCCGCGATGTGTCTCTCCATTTATAATTGTCGGCAGTTGGTCTCAAGCTAGGCGCCACGATGTCGAACAATAGCTCACTTTTTCCTGTAACTAACGCAATTCCAACCGCGCACTATATTATGGTGGCGCTGGTGGCTATTATATGCGTCTTAACGATCTGCTACAATATCCTGATCATCCTGGCATTTATCAAAGATTCGCAAGTCCGTACACCGTTTTCCTACTACCTTCTCAATGTCTCCCTGTGCGATTTGGGATTCGCGTCATTCAGTATGACCAGCTTTATCGGCTATACCGTTCGGCCGTCGTCCAACACGGGAACAAAAGCTTGCCCGTTTTTTATGCTAATCAGCGGCGTTTTCAATATCAACGCATGCTACACAATTCTCTTGATCAGCCTGGATCGGTTGTGGTCGCTCTTTTTTCCTCTGGGATATCGCAATCTCCGCTCGAAGAAGTTGACCATTGGATTGTGCTTGCTGGTGTGGGTTTACGTAATGTGTTTGCTATGGCCGTATGTGCTGCTGGATGTAACGTACTATAATGACCTCACAACATGCAATCCAAACGTAACAGCTCAGCATGCATACGCCCTGGTTATTGAGTTTGTGGCGTACGATTTACCTCCAGTGATGATTATTGGGATCTATTTATTGATTTTCGTAAAGTTGACCGGACGGAATCGTGTTAAAGCGCTAATGAGAAAAGGTAGGATACACAAATCGACCAACCATTGGGCAAAATGTAGCGCTTCCCGTATAACGCTAAATCAATTACTTGCTGCTCTTACAGTAAGCAGCGCATCTTCTCTATATATAGCGACTAATTTGAACTGAATAAAATTTGCGGTATCGCTGTAAACACCAAATTAATTTTCGACGGACCAGTTAAAAGCAGCGCATATTCAGCGATAACATTAATGTAATGTCAAAATTCGTATTTATTTAACAGAGTATTTTGTGAAAGTACAATATTTCACCCGGTTGCGAGAACAATATTTCACACGAAAAATCATAGTTTTTTCTTGGTAGAAACTACCACAGCAGGACTATCCACACACGCTGTCAGCGAATCCGTAAATATCCAAGCGGATCAGCGTTCTCGTGCCGCTTCCAGCGCACACGGTACGGATGGCAAGGGCGTCAAAGTCATTGCCCACCGCTCCTCGGAGAAAAAGCTCTTCAGGTTATTCGCTTTGCTGGCGTTGTGTATTTTCGTATGCTGGATCCCAGGAGTGGTCTACTATCTCATCGCGGATTTCACCGGTTATTGGAATGAAGATATCTACGTTGTAGTGGTTGTACTACAGTATGCCAGCTGTGTGCTTAACCCTTTTATTTACCACTCCACCTTGCCGGACTTGAAGAAGGCTATACGGAATGTCGTGAGATGTTCTTAATGGACTGTTAACCTTAATGACATTTTCCTAGCTTCGTGAACTTTTCGACTTTTATTGTTGGTTTAAGCGTAAAAGATTGAAAGACCAACAAAACATGTACATACTCGGTCAGACTTTAGTAAGAGAATGGAAGACTCACAAAATATACTCTTTCAAACTTTAGTAGCCATAAGCGTGGCTGTCCACATTAACACACGCCGCAGTTATTCCACCCCAAGAATACTTGAATTCTCGCGCAAAATCCAATAGCAGCTGTTGATCCTTTGCGGACAGGACAACGGTTGACCATCCACTATCACGTTTTGTATCATATATTTCTATCGCAAGGGCATGCTCTCCTAGAGAATCTCGCCCGCCGCAGACGTATATTCGATCCTTAATAACGCAGGCAGCATGGCCCTGTCGTGACTGCCGAAGCGGCTGTATTTCTTCCCAAGTGCCGGTTTTTATATTCAGACGAACGCAGTCTCCGGTTACACCAAAATCAGTGCTGTCTTTTACCCTTCCTCCCAAAATGTACACACAACCACTGACCACAACCATGGCAAATTTGAGGCGAATTTTTGGCAAATTTGGCAAGGGTATCCAGGCATCGGTATATGCGTCGTAGCAATTTAGATCATAATCTGTAGCGCAAAATATCTTGTACCCGTATTTCGCCATTACGGGAACGTGATCGCAAATCCTGCATTAAAAGAACTTTAATGAGCTGAGTATTTGAAAAAAAGAGGCAAAGTTGTAGCAGATGTCTTGCCAACCTAGTTTCCAAAGGAAGGTCACCAAGGCGCACAATATTACCAGTAGAGATGTTCATCGCGTTAAAGGAACTGTCTGCATCGAAGAAGTAAACAGTATTATAAAGAATGGAATTCAGAACAATGGGCGATGCAAAAAACACTGTCGAGGAAAGGGTTAATGAACGACTTAGTTTTCCATCCAGGACATTCCAGAAATGACAACTTGTTCGCCGCTGATTTCCGGTTCCTTTATCTTCTGTGAAAATAATATGTGTTTCTGTCGATGCGACATAACCATTAGTCTGAAGGCCTGCTGCGTGCTTGAGCGGACGAATATTTATAGTTTCAGATAAGGTATCATAAATGAGCAATTTTGAAACGAGGACAGGGTGCTCTCCACACAGAACAAAAGCAATAGCTGGATAATCTATTTCGTCCAGTATTGCTACAGCAAAGTTTCTCTGTGTGGTGTCTCAAGCTAAACACTTCCGGATTACGACGCTAAATATTCCGGAATATCACCACTGACAAACGGTACATGACCGCTTATAATCAGTCTAGCAAACTGGTAATTCTGCATGTCATCTTCAACTTCTCTAATTGCATCGCCTTTTATCAGTCGTTTTCTTAAAAGACCTTTGCAACACTCGGCCATCTCTAGAATTACACAACCCATACTCCAAATGTCCGTCTTCCGTCCAGGTGCTTCGTTGCCTGTTTGAGCGAATTTCATCAACATTTCAGGTGACATATAGCGACTAGTACCGCGTAATTCTGTGAAGTCTGCAGAAGTAGTGGCACTCTCTGTCATTTGGACAAAATCGTCCAGATCCGCGATTGCAAACTTATCCAGGGTGTGCCAATTATTTATGAGAATAGTTCGGCTCATTGTTGAAACGTGTAAAAATGAGGCCCATATATCTGTGACGCATGCAGAAAAAATCTGAACTTTAAACTTCGAGAGATATCAAATAGGAGCTCGCCATTGATGGCTCACATATTTGCATCGAGCGGGCTATTCTGAAAGCGCCAAAGCCCACTGCCATTTACCGTTTAACACGCAGTCGGTTCATCTTCAGATTAATTTGAAATAATATTACCGTGAAAAGTTATCGGTCGCGGTTCGATCTATCATGCGAGTATTTACTAAGCTCGTAGCTTGCTTCAAGTTATTAAATACACCGTTCGCCAGCTAATTAGCCAATGTTGGTACTAATTAATTATTTCATTAGTAATTTATTTTTACATTTAGTAGTAAAAACTAAAACTCGTTAGGTCAGAAACTGGGCGCACACATAACTGCTGCAAAACGCTGCAACAATTTTCTTAATGAGTAATTATTAATTATAGTAATTACCTTACTTGTTAATCAGTTTGCTTGGACGTACGCAAGGTAAACATCTAATCATAAACTAATATCATTGTTAACTACTATTAATACAAGAATTGTTAATTAATATAGGAGTATTTAGTAAAACACTATAATTACTGTACTAATTAGTAACATCGTTGGCTACTGTTATCATTAATTATTGTTGTAATTGTGCTTAGTCTAAATGTACAACATCGTACTTTCTGCACTGTAAAGCGCGGCGCTTAAATGAGCTTATACGAAAAATATCCACAATTGGCGACTTTGGCGCTGGAAAAAGCTACTCTCGAGTAGCTTTTTCTTGAGCGACATTCATGCATCTATTGGGGCGTGATCATCAACGCACATAAAATTCATCATCGCAATATGGACCAGTTATGACCCATTATCTTATCTCGGGTTTAGTCAACTTGAGCACAATATGCACGATGTGCAGGAATATCGCAATGTGCAGGTCTAAACTGAACGCCACTAATGTTTTCCGGCTTCAAATCTCCATGTATTATGCCATTGTCGTGCAGGAAATGTAGTCCCCGGCAAACATCCTTTGTAAATCTGGTAACACTGTAACACCTGTTCAACATTTGTCCGCTCTTTCTGAATTCCTTCAAAATAGAAGCAAGATCACCTAGAAAACATATACACCTGTGGCACATTTCGTACCAAAGGAAAAAACTGGGTCTGATGTTTCTCCAGCACTCTCGGTAGACATCTGCATGCAGAGCACACGATGTTCTCAGTAAACACCCAGTAGTCCTACTGGTCCCCTAATTTCTTATGTTTTCTTAGAATGTAAGTATACATGGGGTCTACAGACTACATGTTGTCTAAAGATGTCCACCGCTATACAGGCTAAATGCTTTGCGCATATAGCGGTAGGTACTTGTTGACAACCCGTGATTACTGGGTATCGATGTGACGCTATGTAGGCATGGTATACTCCCGGTGCCGACAGGACCTATAGAATGTCTCGGCAGTGATTACCGTGTGTCTACGTATGTCTAAAGGTGTCTAGTGTCAACAGTGGTGCTGCCGGTCGGGGAAAAAAATTGTGACAGTGTCTACACGTTGGCTACTGATACTGTGACAAAAAACACTACTGTGACAAAAAACACGTTCCAGTTTTTTTCTTTGGTACGAAACGGCCCATATAAATTGGCAATGGTTCTTACTATTATAGTGCTCCATTGCTAATCCAATGTCACTCCGCCGGAGGCCTTCTGATGGAAACTTTCTAATAAATTACCAGATTTGCGTGCCTTAATTCAACGAGTTTTCTAAATCTGTCCATGGTAGTAATCCAACCTTCTTGTTCCGAGATATCTTTGGAATTACGACTGATGTGCATAACTTTCACAGCTAGAGTGTCTTTTCCCCGAAAATCACCACGCTTCGTAAACAACACCAAATGTCCTTTTTCCAATAAAATCTGCATTTGAATAACGGTATTTAACATTACTACCAATTTGTTCGACTGAGCTGGTCTTTCTCGAAGCAATACTTCCCATTTTATTTAGCTGAAAATCTTCCCCTGAGCCGTTCATACGTATAGTTGCATAGCTTTCATTCGTAATATTCCCACTGAATACGGTTACCGTTGTTTATCTCAAAAATCCGTTGGACTTTAATTTTAGTGGTTATCTGTGTACTTCGGCAGCGCCGAACATACTGTACATCGCTGTTTGCTTAGAGAAAGATAGAAAAAGTGTTCATGAAACTGCTTCCCGGAAAGAAAACGCCGAAGTTCATTTCGTTACCGCTTACCGGTCAGCAGCAATATTTATTATCCGACTCAAATTAGTTACAGGCGCAGCGCATATTGACATCTTTTTGTAACAAAGCTGTACTGCACATTTCTCTTAGTATTAGAATTCGGCATTTCTTTACCATAGACTTCTGTAATAGTTGCCCTTGCCGCTCAGACCGGATGCGCTAATCAGGACCTTTGCAGCTGCCAAACAAAACAAACTTAAAATTTTTTCGAAGTTGTGGTTATTTATTTATTCACCGGTGGAAAGTACTGCAAGAACGACGCAGTTGTGCAAAGTTTTTTATAATTTTCCAGACGAGCGCAGCAGGCGAGCAAAAGTGCTTACAGGACGATTCACAGCTTCGTTTAGCCAACGTTTGTATATATGGAACGTTTCGTACCAAAGAAAAAACTGGAACTTTTTTACCTTCTTGTAGTCACTGTAGTCATCTGTAGACAGCCTGCAGACACCCTGTAGACAACCTGTACACATCCTAAGAAAACCTAAGAAACCTAAGAAACCAGGTAACTACAGTATGTCTACAGGGTGTTTACGGGCTGTCTACAGTGCGCCTACAAATATATACAGCAGAACATCCAGCTGAACCTAAGAAGGCCTGCCTGTATACACCTGTAGACACCCTGTAAAAATCCAAAAAGCCTAAGAAACCAGGTGACCACATTATGTCTACAGTGGTGTCTACGGGCTGTCTATAGATGACTACCGGTGTATACAGGCAGAATATCGAGCTGAACCTAAGAAGGGCTGCCTGTATACAACGGTAGACATCCGTAGACAACCTGTAGACACCGTTGTAGACACGCTGTATGCATCCTAAGAAACCAGGTGACTACCGATAGGTCTACTGGGTGTCTGCAGCATGTGTACAGAAGTCTACTGTAACTACAAGGAGAGAAAAAACGGCTCACTTTTTTTCTTTGGTACGAAACGTTCCACAGGTGATCTATTACACATAAAAGAGTAATGTTGAGCAAAGCTGTGCATATTCCTTTTTGAGAAGAAAATTCGACCATATTGTATACCGTTTCCGCTGCAAACACTCTGATTACCGACGATAAGCAGTTTCCTATAGTGTCAAACCATATCGCATACCGGACCGTTGACAATAGCACGAAGTGGAAACTGATCGAACAACAGAATCAAATGACTCGAATCTAACATCGGAAAACTCAAGAGCGCTATTCAGAAACTTAGTACGTCCGCTGTTATTTCAAATCAGTATTTATTCCGGTGTCCGTTTTCTGGCTGAACTCCTGAATAACCTGCCTCACACCCTCGGCGAAGGGCCGCGGCTCTGTAGTCCCCAGGCTGGCTAATCGGCTGCAGAGAAGCCGAGGATCTAAATGGACGATAAAACCAATAAACATAGCAACAAATCGCCATGCATTCGGTTTAGAAAACAGGGAGAAAACAGGGAAACTACGAAACATATTTAACGTCTTTAACCGTTCAACACGTCCGAACGTTTGGGACGGTTACAAAAGGCAACGTGGACGAGTACCGGTGTTGTTATCTACCTCGGGGGCGATTTGCTCCAGAACTCGGCGGATGGGGATCCGCTGTGAGATGGCCGTGTTGTAATTGGAATAGCATTGATAGAAACACCGCCATTTGGTACTTTGTGTATCCTTCTTGTCCGGCATAATGGTATGCACCCTTAACCGAGGCATTCTGCATAAAAAAGCAAATGCTCATTAACGCACAAACCATAACAAAGAACAATTCATTACACCGTTGTCAAAAATATCTCAAGACTATTCGAATTTTCGTGTGGTCATGCTGATGAACGTACGTTCAGTAGGAATGATTCGGCAAGTGTTAAGGCTGCGCGTGCTACATCGTCGACATGCGTGGGATAACGGAGGTCGTAATCCGATAAGACGGCAGGTGTATGGGACTCTTCCAGCTGACGGAATAAGGTTAACATTGAACTCTCTGCAACCTCGTCCACGGGTCCGTACAAAAAAGGTATCCGCAAAACAATACCTAAATACAGCATTGCATTACTGAAGATCTAGCCGTAATATTATATTTCCTACATTACAGTGCAGTACATTATACTCATTATATCTTACACATGAACAACACTATGTACGTTACAACACTCACACAAGCCATCCAAAGTGTAAAAAAAATTATCAACTGAGTTTTCTCAAAGCTTAGCTCGGATAGGACGAATGCGTGACTGCTGGTTTGGTAGATTACCGTTATGGGAAAGCGTCACATGTTCTCCAGCCAACTTCGTCTTTCCATAGTAATTTACAGGATTGGTATCTGGGGAATTCTCTTCATAAGGAGGGTGAGAACCATCAAATACCGAGTCTGTGCTGATGTAAATAAGGAGCGCTTTGTTGGCAGCTGCAGAAAGAAACTAATTTGATTATAACCAGACTAACATTACGTATAATTGAGTTGGTTGAGCTGCAACGTACCTGCAACTTTGGCTAAGTTCTCCGTGGCTTTCACGTTAATCTCGTCGGTTGCGAGCTGCTGTTCTTCCGCAGCATCCGGATTTTTTTCCGCCGCACAGTGCACGATGACAGAAGGCTGCAACGTCATGAAAATTAATTTTAAAAAATCAGTTTTTAAAATAAAGGTAACACAAACGTGTTAGGTTATTATTTTTTATCAAGCTGGATATCGCGCGCAGCAAAGGTAGCAGTACTTGTTTACGTGCATACCTTTTTATCACTAACGACGTCATTTACAGCCGCGAAATCTCGCAAGTCCACTCTGATTAGCTTAGGATTCTTCGAGGCTCTTGAAAAAGCCAAACCAAAAGCCTGCCATCCTGCCTCCTCAAAAATCCGCAAAATAGCTCGACCAAGAAGACCCGAAGCTCCCGTTATAAGAGCGACTTTATCCATGTTTCAATTACAGTAATAAAAAGTTTTGGCCTTCGAGTTTGCACAGCACTGATCCAAAAGTTTATTTTTATATTCTGCAAACACTTTCCAACTTGAAATTACGCTGCCAGCTACTGCTTTAATACGACTACTAACGTAAGTATTCGAGTACAGCACGAACAGATAGAGTACATTGTACATTACACATACTATTGCTGGTACAGTATTGTACACAGGTACACTCGAAGACCATAACAAACCAGATTACATCGATCGCATCACAACTACTGACTCAGCAGGCGCATGGAAGCGCGCAAGCGGCGCGCAGCACTAACGCAAACATGTTTTGCCGGTATCGTATACGGCAGTAGCGGAATACAGTCGGAAGCGTTTGCTACACTTCATCGTAATCTACGAGACTGTATGTAAAATGCTTGCAACAGATCCGCTTGATATTGTGAATGCGCGTAAATGTATCTTATCGTTACAACCCTCAACGGAAAATAACATACTCATCAGATGAAGATGCCGGAATGGATTAAGATTAAGGAAGGGCACCTATTTTAGCAACAAAGTAATATATAATGCGTTTGCATCCAAGCATCTTAGTAATTATGATACCGAGGATACTGATTCTAACTATACCGTGAAGTTGTGTTGCCTTTTATACTAGAAGGCCTACTTACTGAACATTGATTGACAGAGCACTGAGTAACGTGTGCTAAGTTTTATATATCGTGCTGCGTTTTTCCGTCTACCATTCCGTTTTTTTCGTTGTAAAGAATTCGTACAATTTATTTCGAATAATTAATAAATAGTAATTTTATTTGTTTTTGTAGTTCGTTTAAAAACATAAAATGCTGTTGGAATCGTTTACCGAAACGGAGCTTGACCTTTTGGTCCTCGCGGAACCTTTAGCCTGTGTTATGCACGCGTACACCAAATTCCCATCATACATCCACCTCCAAACCGCCATTGTATACGGTGGTGGACCTATCGGCGCCTTGCACCTCATCGAGATTGGTCGTCGCTTCCCGAAGGCCCAACGTTACGTTATCGAGCCCAACAAACAGCGACGTCAACTTCTGCGCCGAATATTCCCGGAAATTGCTGTCTTATCATTCCGTCCCGAAAATCTCCAAGGTGATCTGACTGTTGTGGCGACGAGTGCGCCACAAGCCAGCGTGGACGCTGTAATTAAGGCTTCAGACGCTGGGTTCGTTGTCCTGTTCTCCGGGATTAATCATAAAACGAAAGAAGAATTACCGCTGCTGGAAGGTATTGACCTGGAAGCTGTACATCGGAATGAGGAAGTGAGAGTAACCGACAGAGCGATTCGGCTTGTTGGATCGTCCGGATACCACGAATCTGATATCGAAAATTCGGTACAGGCTCTCTTGAAATATCCACATCTTTATTCACGTGTGCAGACCGGAATTGTCGATGCTCTCGACTCCAAGAAGAACAACCAGTACGTTATCGAAAGTATGCTAAATACACCGGAAGTTTACGAAAAGCACCTGAAGTTTGTGTTCCGTGTTCCAAAGCAAGAAAAAAATTTGGCGGTGTTCCCCAACGATGACCTTAGCAAAGCAACGGTTCGAGAACTGGTTTTGGGAGACCTCTCGAGCGGAATGGTTCGCGTACGGATACTGCGTGCCTGTATCTGCCAGACCGATCGCCGCGTATTAAGCGGGACCAAAGCCTGCTGCGGGTTTAACCGAGGAACAGTTCTCGGTCACGAAGGCATTGGCGTGGTTGAGCAGGTTGGAAACCAGCAGCAGAGCGACCTAATTGGACGAGCGGTGGTGGTGTTGCCTCATCATTATGTAGAGGATCCGCTGGTTGATCGTGGTTTAGGATTTTTATCCAAGAAATTGAAACATCTGGGCATTCACCAGAATGGCGTCTTCGCCACGAGGATCGATGTGCCGGATACCTGTGTACATGTCATTGAGCGGGATGTGGAACCGATAAAGATCCAGAGGAAAGTACTGACGTCAGTTGGTTCTAACAGCATCGAGATAACCGAAAAATCACGCCAGCTGGTCCGACGCGTAAATAGCAATTTCGGATAAGGTTATAGGGTAACGTTTTGTTGCGCTGATTCGTGTGCCAAATATAATTATTTTATCAAGAATTCAGGAGCACTCGGCCACAAAAATTCTGTGAATTTAACCTGTAGTACATTGCTTAATAATCGAAGATTTCATTGTTGTATATATTGATAAATAATATTATTTGTGCTGGAACATTCGTTAAAGTTTATTGTCTTTCAATGTTATTTCGTCCTTAAATTACCTTTCTGCATGGCAAAATGTTCGACATGTGTGCCATGTATAAGTGTCATAGGCTGTGTATGTAATCGCATGAGTTGAGGAAATAAAAACAAACAAACATCTTCTTCGCGCTTGAAAATAGGTATACCATTGTTTCTCGGGCGTACAGTCGATTCTAGTCTTTAAATGATTAAGAGGCAATTACTATTCGTAGTAACTGCAAGTACTTACAGTTACTAATAAAATACTGAATGCAGTGGTAATTTTTAAATTCTACTGAAGGTTTACGTATTACAGAGCCTTAACATTTATTTTCGATTGCTTTCCACGATTTTCGTCGATGTTTCTATTCTGAATACATAAAAAAAGAAGGGAGTGCCAGAGCCATAGAAACGCTTGTAAGGAAATGACAGCATGGCAACGAAAACCCGTAATTTAATTATTGAGCAAACAAATACCTGGTATTACGTATCTAATAACTATCGTAAGCAATGTATACACGCCAGATGTACAGCCCACAAAGGAACTGCGCTGCGTTTTTCCGAAACTGCGCCGCTACATTCCCACTGTTCGGTCAGTCTGCCAGGACAATTATGTTGAGATAAGAAACCTTCTCGTCGTGTGCAGACACAACCGGCTTGTCCGACAACATTATGTGGACGTTCCGCTTACAGATTTGTGTAGCCATGACAGCTGTCGAAGCCAGAAGAATCGCAATGGCAGATGCAATTAGGGAAATCACGCCCTCGATTGTTGTGTCCAGGATGAACAAGAACACTGCAAATACCATGCCTCCCAGTGCCGCCAAGTAAGAAAGAATGCAGACTATGATGTTCAGCGCAAATAACGTGTAGAACATTCGAATGGACGCTGTCTGTTTTTCCCCTTTGTCACTGACTTGCAGTCCATATAAACCCGTAACGAACAGCAGTGGTCCTCCAAATAATAGGGGAAGGTTGCGTAAACATTCTTCGCCCGAAGGGTTTTCTGAAGAAAGTAGACCTTTTTTTTACCGAAAACATGGTTCGATAACTTCCCTTATACAATATGCGGTGCACATACTCTGTAATTGTACGGATACGTTTTACTGACCGTGCGCACGCATTAATCTAAAAATTTCCGATACCTTAAAATTGTTTGTTGATACTTTGGGCTGTTTTGATACCGCTTAGTTAGCAGTTCCGAAACCAGTACACAAAGTTCGTTGATTTTGCTATTGTGAACAGTTCCGGAACACTTACGGTACTACTGTAGGCAGAGCACGGTGAGCAGTACTACTCCAAAGCCACTTTCGATAATGGAGGCACACCGTAGTTTCTGCAGTCCTTCCGAATTTCCGCCCATTATGGTTGATGATTGTTTAATAATTCAAGCTTCGAACTATATGACTTTTATACCAAGACTTTATTAACCGCACTGCGGTATCTGAAATTTTACAACTATCGCATATTTATTGTGTACAGTACGTCTGCTTGCGAAAAGCTACTCTGCTAGTATATCGTTTTATTTTGCTTTACTGTAGCAAACAGTCAGCAAATGATGAGTAACACTATGTATCACAACAATTGACTGGTTTCCCTTCGCTGTAAATCTGGCATTTAAGGCACGGATCTAATCACTTTCAACAATCTTTCTACATGTTCGCTCGCTTACGAGCTACGGTTTTTAAACTGCATTTTTATGAAACAAGCCTGCCTGGTCTCCAGTGCGATAAATATGCTCTATCATACGTAAGCCAGCTTGATTTCTGCAATACATATACGCACCGGAAGCCAACACAATACTGCGATCTGATCGGGACCATATTTATTTTTATCTTAATAATAATACTAATAACTGGTTTATTGTCCTTCGCTACGAGGCAGCGCCTTCTTTTAGCTAAGACAGGGAAACAGACATGGGGTACATACATCTTACCATTTTCGAGTGACACTAACTGTACACTACAGATAATTTTCTTGATCAAACCAGAACTCAGATGCATAACTTCCAAAAAAATCGCTGGAATGTTGCTGCTGTGCATTTACGGTAAATCCTTTTCCTTTACGTTTATTGCGAAAAGTGTTACAGCAGACGTAGTTGCGCGAGCGACAAAATGCTGATAATCCCTTCGCCTTAGTCAGTGTCATCGTCATCACTAGTGTCCGTGCCGTTTTCGTCACGCGAGCCTGGAGTTAAAACAATTATTGGACACGGAAGATTATAAATTATGGTCCGTGCTATCGAAAAATCATAATGCATTGGCCGTGCCTGGTTCTGAAATCTCGAATGCGTACACCTTCCTCCAGAGGTTGATCTGTCATAAAAAGACATGCGTCAGTGAGCTTTACGATTGCGTTTTCAAGAGAAAAACTCCGGCATCCGACAGTTTTACAACTCCATAAAATGTTATTAATAAAATATTATCTTAACAGTTTCCTCTCTCGGTGTGGTGACTGGATGACCAAAAAGTCGTGTTCAGGATGCTGGTGATTGGTAAAACAAGTTGCGCATAAATCGTAGTTGTGGCATACAAGGCATTTGAAACGCATGCCCACAATGGGATTTTCGTCGCAGACGTCGCAGCGAACGGACGGATGACTGGTCATCTCCATCCGTACCGGCTCCAACAGTCCCACTGATCCGTTAGCACGGAATTTTGCGTACACCATCCGGCATTTGGCGGACTGCAAAAACGCCTGTTATTGGCTACGAATCAGCAGTGCGGAATGCAAAAAAAAACATCTAGCAGTTCTCTCTTACCAGTGCGGCTCGGGGTTTACGAATAGCAAAGAAGTCATGTTGGCGATGGTTTCTAGCTAGGCACGTCTCACACAAATCATAGTCAGGACACGTCAGACATTTGAAACGGATACCGGTAATCGGGGTGCTTCGACAGACATCGCAGGTAACTTGCCGATGAACTGTGACATTTTGTCCGTGCGTTGAGATGTCTGCGTTGCTGTGACGGACCTGCAGAAGGTGCGAGACCTTCTTTACCGATGCGAAAAAATTACCAAGAAAATGAAAAAAGACTTACTGACGCGATTCTCTCGTGAGTGATGTGGGTTTCGCTGGAGGGTGCGTCGAAGTCAGCTAAAAATTTGGCAATAATTGGATGTAACCCGAACATTTTGAAAGCAGCACTTCCGAGCGAAGCACACTCACTAGGATATACCAAATCAGCTACAGTAACTACAGAACTGTGAAGCATGTAAAGTTATTTCTTGAGCTCAAAATTAATTTTTTTTAATTTATAACCATTCTGAAAATCTAGCTTTGATACGTATACATACAATTATTCGTACGCAGATCACACCTTCATCGGCGAAATCTTGAAGCGATGCATTATTCATGAAGCCGAGCGCATCTCGTTGGTACTGTTTCTCGTATATCCAGATGAAGCGAAATATGGCTTCCAAGTGGTGATCATTCTCATTATCCAAGTGAAAGCGACTTCCCAGTTTGTCCATTAGGAATCGGAACGGCTGAACTCCAATATCCGCCCGCTTCCGAACCAGCTCCTCGATATCAGTATGGTGTGTAATCGGAGTCCCTAGATGATACTCTTCGATGTCACGGTAGACCGGCAAATTGTAAACGTGTTCCAGATCGGACTCAGGAAAGACTCGGCGCACACCGCGGCAGTCTTCGACTAATTCGATTCTTGGGCGCCCACCCACGGGTGACTGGTGATTTCTCCAAAAATCACTGGACATGATGACAAACATGGGATTGGTGATGCCCAGCAGACCGAGGGTGGTGACCGGCAAATCAACGCGGTCGTTGCTGAAGACAATGATATCTTTCGGCATCCCGTGATAAATCAGAAGAACAAACAGTTTCCACAGTTCTTCCGGCGTCCAACCACGCAGCCCAATGGAATCAACATATCCTTCTAAATGAATAATCTCGCCGGTGCCGTCACTTGTTGTCCGTTTTGGTTGGTCGCCTTTATTAAGCAACCACAAGAACGTGCTCTTTCCGGTTCCTTTGGCTCCCACCAGCAAAAGCGAGTCCGTTTGCCGAATACACAAGTTCAGCCCGTTAACGAAAGCCACTTTTCGTGCACGATCCCGCGCGGGCCTCTCGATTTGCGCGGCTATTGTTTGCGCTCGTTGCTCAGCCTGCTGTATATTTTTTATCAGATTGTTGACACGTTCGTCGTAACGCTGTCGCTCAGCCGCCCATTTCCGCTGCATTACTTCCTGGTCGCGCTGAAATTTCCGTTCTAGGCGCTCCCGATCAGCTGATGCAGAATGACGTAGTCCATTCATTTCCATTTCGTGCTCCCGTCGATTGCGGGCTGAGCTGGCTTCGAGTCTCCGTTCCATATCAGCCATGGCTGTTTCATGTGACATCCGGATGGCATCGGTATTCCTGACCCGAACCCGTCCGAAAGCATTTCTCCCTTCCAGAATTTCCGATAAATCTGTAAGGGTTTGATGGATTCTGGGTCCTACACTGACTGCAATACCCATTGCTCGCAAGGCATCCATTATGAACAGATAACTGAAGTTTTCGGAGAACACGTAATAACTGCCAAAGAGTAACGCGAACCAGTTTCCTAATACGGCAAATGTCTGGTGCAACCGGCTGTGTGAGAACTTAGAAACGCTCTAAAACAAGGGCCCTACTAGTAAATTCTGAAGTTTTCATGTCAAGTTGCACACTTTTACCAGGCACAATACCTAGTACATGCACAAAAACCTTTACGTATGTCACCGGCACAGACTCAATCAACACGCGCTCCATAACCAAGCAGAAATGTTTGACATGGCTATTCGGCTGTTTATTTCAAAGTCCGCAGTAGTCACTGCCTCGTCTGGCATCCGATAGTGCACATAGTGATAAGCTAAACAAATTTATCAACACACTTATGAACATAGCTACTACATGTACTTGGTTCTCAGAAAAGCGAGCGCGATAACATTATAACCGCTTCGCGATGACTAAGACAGTAGCCACTCAACATCAAAATCCCGGCATCAAAACAAAATAAAATCATTAGTAAGCTACGATACAAACTCTATGTACGACTGTAAACAAAACTAAAAGGACTGCGCACCGACAGATGCGTAACACACCGGTTTCACGTTAGCAAACAGCTAGGCAGAATAACGCGGAATAAAGCCTTGCCCTGATGGTCTGCTGCATTTCAAGGCTTTTGCTCTAAGCTCTGCACTTCCGCAGAATAATCGCATCTTCTAACAATGGTGGCAACGACTATTAAATAATTTATGAATTCCGGTAGAAACATTTCCGTCAGAATTATTACAGTGCCCTTTACCCAAATTCCCCGGAGATGGGATATACAGTAGTGTTAAGTTCTTAACCTGCTCCTTCGGTTAGTGAAAGAATTCTACCCACCTTGTACCACCATTCCTACAACAAAATACAAGATACAGAGGCACAATGCAATTTAATCTACAATTTAGTGCAGCTTAGCAAACCGATTAAATGTCGTTTCTGAAAAGGCAGCATACAGGTGTTGGCGAGCGCAAATTATGATAGCACTGCGTATTAACCTACCCGACATGTCGCTTGTGTTTGACTCGACGTAACCCGTGTGTTCAGTCACTTACATGTGAGCACTACAGCTAAAAAACGTACGTACGTAATTCCTTTCTTTTGGTAGCTCGTTGTGTTGCATTTGCTTCAGAAAAAGGGGTGTATTTCTGCAGTGTAGAAAAACGCACATTTTGTAGTAATCGTGGAAAACGAGGTTATGGAACGAGAAGCCGCGGTCAGAACTACTTGGTTCTGGAGAGACTGGTGGAGCCTTGGAGGGTTTATGTTCCACTTCATCGCGTCCACGGATTATTTCCGTGGATAACGAACGGAGCCGACCAGTGCTGTTCGGGTCTCCTGGTGATCTATGGCCCTTGCCTGAGCCTAACGCAATTTACCGGCATCGCAGCGCTATGTAGCGTCATTTTCCAATCAATAAATTTAATGTCCGAGGAAAATAAAACATCAATTGTCATGATATCTGTCTGGACGTCGTTGTATTATGCCAGCGCACTGTTTCGTATACCGGTATTTCCCATTACTGCAAAGGCGTTGACTGAAGCCATTAAAGACCTAGAGACGTTTCTGCAGAAATGCGAACTTTCGGCTGCTCGCCGGAAAAACGTGCACCTTTTCATTGGGACCTACGCAATAGCGATGCTCATACTTGCTGCTATCATTTGCTATGCACGCGAGGGGGACGATTTTCCGACCTATGAGAATGTTGTTTTTCTTGGTCTCAGCTTGCACCCTAAGGTCTTCATTGCGGTGTTTCAACTGGTTCCGTTATTCTGCAGCAGCATGACACAAACAGCGTTTGCTTTTACGTTGGCATACGACAGCTTTGTGCTAGGATTTGTTTAAACAGAACAGCGACTCAGTCAAAGCGATGTTGAACGGTATGGGAAAGAAAAATGATGAGGTGATGGTACTGTCAAAGTCGTGAGAAAATCACTGGACATTGTCAAAAATTACCGAGAAGCTGGACAATGTTTTCGGTCCCATTCTGCTTGTCGAGGCGGTAATGGATGCTGGAGGAAAGCAGTTGTTGTGGGACTGGCTATGGGTGGACGACCGCGAGTCCCGCTGGGTGTATCTGTGATAACCGGCTTAAATAATGTCGGGTACGTGATTGGCAGTGGCCTGTGGAATTTATTACTGCTTCTTCATTGGACTATCGCTGCCGCCTATGTAAAATGCCAGGTACATGTTAGGAGTTTTCCGGTTTATATAGCGCCAGAGCCCATAACACAAGTATCATACGAGTGTGCTTCAGTTGTGCCTTAAAGACCACTTTGACAATACGGTTCACAACATCGATCACTGGTCCTGGTTCAGAGTTTTCTTCATAGTTCTTGTGTTTTGCGTGAGATTACCTCTTCCGATTGGCGTAATTGTGGGGAAGATCCATAATAACAGTGCCGTGCATATAAAACCGTTTATTTGGAAGTCAAGGCAGCATAGAAGTAACGAATTTTTTTATGCAGCTACATGCATATGGTAAGATTTAATCGAAAGGAGGTTGTCCAAACTCCAAACCATCTCGGTATACCTGTCTATTGGTACTTGCAGGCTCACAGCATTGGCCGTCTGTACTACGAAGCATGTGAAGTTGCGAAGCATGATCGTCGGAGCGAAGTTACAAAAATCACAAAATCGGTCAATGAGCGGCTGCGAGATTATCCGGTGTGTTTCATAGCGTGTGGACTGGCCAATATCGACACAAAATTCCTATTGACGGTATTATTGTGGACAGTATACAATGTCTACTCCTCAATTTACTGTTGTTTTTATTCAAAAAAAGGTATTCGGAATTTTCCTCACATATCTGATTGTTATCCACGAATTGACGAATCGGGAAGAGCTAAGAATAGGGTGCACGAACGGCAAAGGGCTGGCCTCGCTGAACGAAAGTCAAAACCATGCAGCCCAGAGTTAATGAGGAAACAGCTGGGATACGTCTGACTCTATAACTGTGCGGGATACAGGCACTAACTGCATGGTGTCAAAAAAATAACGGTGTAATACATTTATCGGCCAATGAGTGCAACATGCGATAACAACACCGGAAAATTTAATACCGCGATAAAAATACGATGCAGGTGATTATGTTTGTGCAACCTGTTACCTGATAGCCTGATGCCATCTGCTGATGCCAGGCTGCCATCCTTTTTCGGTTAGACGATGCTCGGTTTCATTGTCAGTGTACAGAATACTATACAGTAGGTGCTTGTTTACTAATAGCACGACTACTAGTCGTACATATCGTTTTAAATTTTTAATGAATTATAGAAACGCGGCAGAAAAATATTCGTACTTGTACTCCAGTAGAAATCTACTATAATTTGTAATCAAATTTGGACGCTAATATAATCATGACAATCGATGTTATTTACGTATGTTGGTCGTTGAAACTCAAGGCAAATTATGGAATTCGCCCAAATGCCATACACTTACTGATAATAGTTAAAATATTTATAGCATGAGACAGCAAAATAAATTTCTCGAAATCTCAAGACGCTCCACATGCATTTTCACCCTCCAGCGGTCGTAAGTATCGTTCTGTTCACGCACTACCCGTCATTTTTCCGCAGTGCACCATGATTTTCCATATTTCTGCCCGCAGGCAGTGGAACAAAACAGCAAGTGTTGTCGGAAGCGTGCTGCTACATTTCTGCATGACCAGTCATAACCAGCTGCTTTCTATTACAGTAACTTAACGTTAAACCTGCATGTGTTAAACGATTTTTATAGTCTACGGGTTGCCGGTATGTGAGCATCGTATAGCGTAGCATGTACTGTAATTACTTGGTATCCATTGCCGGTTAATTTTGACAATGTGCCCTTTTGAACCGCGCCGGGATGCGGTGGAAGATGCTTTCCGTATGCAAAAATATTCCCGCAGGGACAGCCTCTTCAGTAAAGATGAAGCTGTCATCATACGAAAGGCACAGGAATTCGGTGTGTCCGTGGACGAACTGTGCCGACTGATGCAGTTGCGGGGAATCAGTGTGCGGCAACACATTAACGATCAGTATGGGGATTTAGAGGGACTGGCAATGCAGATGCTAACATCACCCACCAAAGGTAATCAAATTCATAACATCTATCGTTTTTATATTTTCCGCCGAGTAAATACATCAACGATTAGAGCCTGCACATAATGCATAAAGTATATAAAAAAGCCCGCTAACAATTACTGCTCTAGGTCCGGGTTCTTAGATTTGCAAATAAGATTATTGAAATCGTTTCATCAATAATGAAAACCAGGTCTGGACGAATCGCCACATGACTTGGACAAACGGCAGCAGAAATTTGGCAAAAATGTTATCCCAATGAAAGAACCGAAATCATTCTTGCACTTGATGCTGCATACGCTAAAAGAGCCGACACTGATTATTCTGGAGGTGGCGGCGGTTGTGTCGTTGGCACTGGCTGTGTGGAACATCGTCCGTCCGGATGGTAAGCAAAGCACCGAGGCCTTTGTCGTATATACCCGAAAGGCGGTCTTCCAGTTACCCAATTAAATTTTCGATATACAAAGGGAATAAGTGCCGCTTGCCAATTTAGCTTCGGTAATATTTATTTCATGGTTTGAAGACTAGAAGTCTACTCTAGTTTTGTAACGCCTTGCAGCGGAGAAAGATGCGCAGTCGTACGAGTGGATTGAAGGCGTGGCTATTGTGGTGGGTGTGATGGTCATAGTGCTGGTCAGTGCCACTAACGATTACGGGAAGGAGCAGCAGTTCCGTGTTTTACAAGCTAAGGTGCGGGAGGAGCACAAAGTCACCGTCATTCGCAAAGGCCAGATTATTCTCATTCCGGTACAAGAACTTCTGGTGGGGGATATCTGTCAAGTGAAATACGGTAATAATGACTAATGAGTGCCCATCACTTTTTGTCAATCATTCGATACATTCATAAAAGAGCATAAGCCGATCTAACGGGAACTTTTTTGGGTTATCTTGCCGCAGTTGCAACAACTCATTAGCAATTTACGTTTTTGGTTCGGATATTACGTTTTATTATTTTCAGGTGATTTAATTCCCGCTGATGGTGTGGTCCTACAGGGTCAGGAATTGAGACTAGATGAAAGCTCTCAAACAGGTTAAGCGTCAAAAAGGATTTCATAATTTAGCGCAATCGAAGCGGTCTTTTTCATATTACAAGCAGTAATAATTTATATGAGTTTCATGTATAATTTCTCGCTGTACTCGTACTGCAGTACTACTCGGGTAGTGTATCAAAACGTCTGCATGTCAGTCACCGCGAAAAGTAGCAGTGGCTGCATAAACGCCTTCCAGCAATCGTGCCCCGATGGTAATTAGTTGATAGGTACACGTGCTAGACTTTTCAAGGTGGCGAGGATCATCTTAGCATGATGCCTGGCAAGCACGTGGCACGCAGAACATTTAAATGATTTTTTGCAGGCGAATCCGATCCTGTGAAAAAAGATTCCGACACCGACTGTCAGGTTTTGTCAGGTAGGTGAATTAAAGCCATCTGCTTTTTTTATTATGCTCTTCATTGGAAGTTTCGGTACGTACTGAGCCAAACGCTTTACTGTTTCAATATTTATCAAAAGCGGCAAAATAATTTTCCACTGTCACTAACTATTTCTATACGCCCTGCGATCTACAGAGCCTTTCATTACAGGCACCCACGTGATCGAAGGCTCCGGGCGTATTCTGATTTTAGCGGTCGGCGTGAATTCTCAAAGCGGTTCCATTTACAAACTGCTCGGCGCCGTTCAGGAGAAATCTAAATCCAAAAAGCAAGCCCCCAGCGGTATTACCGTGCCAGATAGCGAATCCAATTCGACCGACGGAAGCCTCGATGGCACACCTGGTGAATCCAGTAGCGCAAAAAAATCGGTTGATGAACAACGGAAACAGACCAATCATTCCGTCTTCCAGTCTAAACTAAACATTCTGGCGTATAAAATTGGAATTCTGGGTAACATTTGCCTAAGCGCCATAAGACATACGTTTTTGCGCATCGCAAGGTGTTATTTTTGCAGGTTTGGTATTTTCTGCCGGCACCTCCATTGTGATAATAATCCGTTTCTGTGTGGAGAACTATGCAGTGCAAAAAAACGGCTGGAAAACGCACGATGCCACTACCATTTTGGACAGTATTATTGTCGGTATTACTATTCTGGTGGCAGCCATCCCAGAAGGTCTCCCGTTGGCCGTGACTTTAACGTTGGCATTTTCAGCAAAAGTCAGTCTTCAAACTGATGCATTGTATCTGTTAGCAAACACCGATCGCACACGTTTCAACATTCCGTTATTACAGAAAATGATGCAGGATAATAATCTCGTGCGACACTTGTACGCCTGTGAAACAATGGGATGCGCCACAACCATCTGCTCCGATAAAACCGGGACATTGACTACAAACCGGATGACGGTTACCGAGTCATGGATTGGAGGTGGGTAGTTACGAAGAAATTTTTTAATTTATATTAATTTTAGAATTTTCAAAAGCCCATACTTAATGTATACGTACAGATAGTACGTATGTATGTATATACGCCTGGCGCCATAATGGTTTTATTACTCGTATAAAGGTCAAATCCACCATCCAATACCCAGTCCGTCGTCTGTAAGTCAGAAGATCCTGGAACTCATCAGCAGTGCCGTCGCTATCAACTCCAACTACACATCCGAGGTTGTTGCCAACAAGGAAGGCGGACCACCGGAGCAGCGCGGTAACAAGACCGAGTGTGCTCTACTCAGTTTCGCTTCTTCGCTGGGAGTGGACTGTCACCAGATAAGGCAAGCCCATCCAGAAGCGTCCTTTCTCAAGGTATTCACATTCAACTCCACACGGAAGTCAATGTCAACCGTTGTGGAAATTCCCGGTGGCTGGCGCGTGTACGTCAAGGGCGCTGCTGAGATAGTGCTTTCCAAGTAAGCCAAACCATGCAGTGATTGTTGTAGGAGTAAACTGAAATAGGATAATAAATTTTACGAAGTTTTCCCAATTACAGATGTAGCTTTATTTTGACTCAATCCGGATCTCCAGTGCCTCTTTCACCCGAAACCTCTCAAAGCATCGCCGACACCGTGATCTCTCCCATGGCCAGTAACGCCCTCCGCAGCATCTGTATAGCGTACAAGGATTACCTTCTCGACAGTGCCCAAAATAGTATTCCTTCCAATGCGCAGGCATGCCGATCTCGACCGGATTTCAATGACGAGAACGCCATCGTCTCCGATCTCACCTGCTTGTGCATTGTGGGTATCGAGGACCCAGTGCGACCTGAAGTGCCGCGGGCCATTCGGCGCTGCCAACGCGCCGGGGTTACCGTGCGAATGGTCAGCGGGGATAATGTGCAGACAGCGCGATCTATTGCTCTGAAGTGCGGAATTATTCGACCCGGCGATGGGAGTCTGGTTTTGGAAGGGAAAGAGTTTAATCAGATGATTCGTGATTCTAACGGCCAGGTATGCTTGTCCTTACAAAAATTCGAAACACGGGATATGTGGTGATTTTGACCGTTTTTTACGGCACATTCAAATAACCTAGGTGGATTCGGTGCGATTCAATAATGTATGGCCACAACTGCGCGTTTTAGCCCGCTCGACACCCGAAGACAAGTTTACGCTAGTGGATGGAATAATAAACAGCAAAATTTCCAAACACCGCGAAGTAAGTTTAGATAGAAACCGATTGATATTTTTAAGCAGCATCTGGTATTTCTATTTGAATTTCGTAGGTTGTGGCGGTCACGGGTGACGGGACCAATGATGGTGAGTGTACATGTCCCACAGTGACAAGCGTGAGAAAGCTCCTCGGTTTACTTTGTTGTTTGCAGCTCCTGCTCTGCGAAAAGCTGATGTGGGCTTTGCAATGGTAAGATGGCGAATCAGGGTCTAGCCTTAATTAAATTCGACGTGACCTTTTGAAATTCGTGCTTTTGGATGGACACGCTTGCAGCACTTCTACGTTTTTTTTCAAGCTTTACTGATAATTGTCTGCCAAATTTAATGGGATCAATGATCCAGCTACCGAAGTACCGACAAAGTCATCATGAATGCTTTGCAGGGGATCGCTGGTACAGATGTGGCCAAAGAAGCGTCGGACATTATCATCACCGATGACAACTTTATCAGTATTGTCAAAGCGTGCATGTGGGGACGGAATATCTATGACAACGTGGCGAAATTCCTGCAGTTCCAGCTGACGGTTAATGTTGCTGCCCTCAGTGTCGCCATCGTAGCGGCTTGTGTTATTGGGGTACACCGCTCTTACTGACTTGCGATTTCTTCTGCAGTAAATTTATTTTACAGGATACTCCCTTAAAAGCCGTTCCTATGCTATGGATAAATATGATCCAAGATACGCTGGGGTCACTGGCGCTAGCCACAGAACCGCCTGGCGAGGCACTTTTACAACGGAAACCGTACGGCAGAAAAAAGCGTATCATATCCAGGATGATGGCACGCAATATCCTCGGTCAAGGATTGTACCAAGCCGGCGTTTTGCTTCTCATTTTGTTCTATGGTACATCTGAAACTTTTTTTGTTACATAAGGAACAGCCGCAATTTAGCGCGTTTGCCAAATCCTGTTTTCAAAACACCTACTGGAATTCAAAACATTGTGACAAAATACTTCTTAATAATTTTACATAACTTACCTCTGTTCCCATCTAGTTCAACACATGATGTGTATTTCTTTAATACGTTTTGCAGGGCCTCGTTACTTCGAGATCTACGAAGACCGGGAAATCGGTCACGTTGTTGGAGAGCCGAGCTTCATCTACACGATGATCTTCAATACCTTAGTCATGATGACGTCGTTCAACTTAATTAACGCGCGTTGGATCCATAATGAAGTCAACGTTTTTGCCGGGATCCATCGGAATCTGTACTTTGTTATATTGTGGGCCGTGATGGTGGCGACGCAGGCAATCGTGGTACAGTTTGGCGGCTACGCATTCGCTACACAACCACTGGAAGCCGATGCCTGGATGATCTGTTTATTCTTTGGATTCGGCTCGCTGCTTTGTTATCAGCTGCTGCGTTTTGTCCCGGTTCAATGGAAGCAGACAAAGAACAGCCGATTGTTTTGAGATATAATAGACAAAATTAAGTGACCTGCAATTAATGCGGCAGTTACGCAGTATGAAATAATGCAAACCATACCACCGATATGGTCTACAAGCTTTCCCAGATTAACCTAATTTCTTAACAGAATTCATGCATTAATAGTACTCGAACAGCCTATAGTACGTCTTCATCACAAAATGTACTAGACACATGCCCGCGCTTTTTTTGAAAATTTATTGCTTTTAGAGTAAACTGATGCGTTTGCTAAATAAAACAAGCATTCAATTCGTTTATGCGGAACGGCGATAGCGAGGCATCCTAGCAAGTTATTAGCTCAGTTCAAGCCTTCGTTGCTTGTGTAGCAAAAGAACAGCCATCGGCACGGTTGTTAAGACATACATACTCGTACCTGAAACAATTCCCGTTTTTCCCTTAATTATTGGCTGCACGATGATTGCGCGGTGCAACCTTTGCGGTTGTCTGTTAGTGCAACCAACTATGGCGCTGCAACCAATGCAACTAACTATGGCGCAACATTCCGTGTTAATGTCCTGAGGCTCCAGAAAGGAACAGATTTTGAGAATAATTTCCAGTGGAACACGAATAATACCGCAATACAATTTTGATTTGGAATACAATTTTGATTTTTGAATTCGTATTTGGAATCCCAATTTGATTGTGCTGGATTCAAAACTTGTGCTGGATTCATCGCGCCGCCATGTGAAACTGCTTGGGTCTTCAACGAAGTTACTTGGGGGGAAATTTACATGAACCCCAAGTAATGTGGGTACGTCGTTTCCATCATGACGCGTCGCGTTCTTAAGTCTCGTAGAGCTCGTTTTCTGCCTCTCTGCCTCAATTTCTAGCTTTTCATGCCACTCCAACCGTTTTCCTGCTCCGGATGTGGCAAGCAGCTACGGGCATGGGGGAACCACAGGAACGCGTGCCCAAAAACGCTGTCCTCGACCCTGGAGCCTATCCCACTAACCCCAGCCACAAGCGATAATTCCGCCGCACCCGCACCTACGCCTCCACCAGCGGTGACTTTCCGTCCATCAAAAGTGCGTATCATGCGCCGCATCCCCCACGGAGCAAGACCCGCCGCAAGGGCTTCCTTGGTGAAAGCTCTCCAACAGGTCGCCACTAATAACGACAACAACTCGTGGTGGAAGTTGTTGTCGTTTGCGCCCACGGCCCTTCGCCTACCTGTCAAAAGCAAGTCCCCACACTCTGGGTCCCTAGCATCCACGGTCAAGCAGAACATCGGGACTTTTGACAGCGGCACTGCGACTGCCCCCACATCCCCGCCACCCTCTAGGAAAACACGTACGGACCAGGACGATCTTGTCCGCAGGGTCGGCCAGAAAATCGACGACGGGTCGATTTCGGGAGCAATGCGGGTTGTCCTGTCGACAGATGCCGTTCTTCGACCAACCCCGGAGGTTTTAGCGGAATTGCGCGAAAAGCACCCCCAGAGCGCCCCTCCTGGGGTAGTTCGCCTCGACCCGCCTCCACCAGTACCTGCTCGAATAACACGTGAGGAGGTCTTCGCAGCCATCCAGAGCTTCCCCAAAGGATCGGCCGCGGGACCGGACGGCTTAAGGCCCCAGCATCTTGCAGATATGGTCGGTCCCAAGTTGGACGACCACTCCGCCCCCTTATGTGACGCACTGGTGGCAGTGCTGAACATCGCAGTCGACGGAAAGGTTCCCACTGATGTGCGCCCAGTGTTTTTTGGCGGAAAACTCATCGCGCTAAGGAAGAAAGATGGCGGTCTCCGTCCCATAGCAGTCGGGATGACACTACGCCGATTGTTAGCCAAGATAATATGCGCCCGTTTGAAAGACCGTTCAGCAGCCATTTTATCTCCACAGCAGTTAGGAGTGAATGTTTGCGGTGGCGCAGAGGCAATAGTACACGCGACCAGGACGTTTATTGAATCGCCTGGAGACACTACCAAGGTTGTTCTGAAGGTGGATTTCAGAAACGCTTTCAACACTTTGTCCCGTGAAGCCGTCCTAGCCGCTGTGATGAAGCATTTTCCGGAGTACAGCGATTTTCTCTTCTGTGCATACGGCCATCATTCTACGCTATATGTGGATGACGTGTCGCTGTCTTCGGAGTCAGGCGTTCAACAGGGTGATCCGCTCGGTCCATTGCTGTTCAGTCTTGCGCTGCACCCATTGGTGGCCCTGCTGAACGCGGAACTCAATGCCTGGTTCTTAGACGACGGAACCCTGGGCGGAGCGCCAACGGTGGTAGCTGATTGTTTCCGTCGCATTATTGAAGGCGCACTCGCCATCGGCTTGCAAGTTAACGAGGCTAAGTGCGAACTGCTGGTGTTTGGGGGAACACCTGATTCGCGGCGTGTCGTCACTGAGGAATTCCTCGAACGTTACCCACGACTACGCATTTTGACGGAATCCACCATGTCTCTGCTCGGAGCTCCCGTACTGGATGACGCGATCGGGCCTCTTCTCAACGAGAAGGCTAGTACCTTGAAGTTGATGTGTGAACGACTTCAGTTACTACCTAGTCATCAAGCGTTGTTCCTCCTTAAAAACTGTCTCGGAGCGCCGAAAATTATCTATATGTTGCGGTGCTGTAATGCATGGAAATATCCCGCATTACTATACCAGCTGGATGAAGCGATGCGCTCCTGCTTCCAAAATCTGTCGAATGTACGGACCAATCACAACGACTACCCGCCTTGGCGTCAAGCAACACTACCGGTTAGCAGAGGTGGAATTGGCATCCGCCGGTCGGAAGAATTATCCCTTCCAGCCTTCTTGGCTTCGATTCATTCCGTATCCGGCTTACTTGCTACACTTCTGCCTAACCACGCCGCTGTTGACGCTACTGGTGCCTCGGAGTCTTGGAAATTGAAAGCCCGTCAACCCCAACTCCCGGAAACTCTTTTTCGAAAGTCCCAAAAGGCCTGGGACTTGCCGTTATGCAACGTGTCTCTTGCGGCCCTCCTGGAGGTATTTCAAGGAGACGAAATCAACACTGCGCGCCTGCTTGCCCAGTCTAGACCAGAAGCCGGAATTTGGTTGAACGCCTTGCCGTCCGCTCACATCGGCAATCTACTGGGGGACGACGAACTGAAGATCAGCATCGGCCTCCGACTCGGCGCCACGATCTGTGAACCGCACGACTGCGTCAAATGCCACAAACCCGTTGGTGGTTACGGGCACCACGGGTTATCGTGTGTTTTCTCCGCCGGACGGCATCCGCGCCACGGCGGGTTAAACAGCATCATTTGTAGGGCCTTTGTATCCGCTGGTGTGCCTGCAAAACTAGAGCCGCGCGGCACATCTCACACAAACGAACGCCGCCCGGATGGCTGCACGACATTCGCCTGGAAGCGCGGATTGTGTCTTGCATGGGACGTGACATGTGTAGACACGGTTGCGCTATCGCATCTTAAAGCCACTTCCACCACAGCGGGAGCGGCCGCTGCCCAGGCAGAAGGAAAGAAAGCAGGGCTATATTTCTATCTGACCGGCCGCTACCTATTCGTCCCGATCGCTTTCGAAACACTAGGCCCGTGGGGACCTTCGGCGATCGCCATCATCAAAGAGCTGGGAAAAAAGACTGCAGCAGCACACCGGGGAAGCACGCTCGCACGAATTTCTGCGACAGCGTTTGTCCATCGAAATTCAGCGGGGAAATGCGGCTTCAGTGCTGGGCACGATGGAAGGGCTAGATAAACTAAACGAAATTTTTCTGTTATAGTCTAATGTGTTCCTTTTCTTGCTTATGCATCGCGATTTTGATTTGACCAATAAAAAGTGGAATTTCATTTTGGACCAGTCTTGGCGCGCGAATGTTTTTCGCTGACCAAGGAGTCAAGGACCACTCCCTAACAGACAGAAATAAAGGCAGTCAAGATTCTTTTACATATTGCGCCCCTAAGAGCGCATTGCAGAGAATTATTATCACACTACACCATTCCGCTGTTCTTTAATAAACTTGCACTATAAAATATTTTCAACCGTGGGAAATGTTTCCAGGATAATCTTTTCACTTAGTTATACAGCAGTTGGACGAAGGCATCCGGAAGAGTCAAAACGGCATAATCCCGCTTCATTTACAAGGACCCTCAGCAACAGTGAACAATTTAACGAAAACTCTGCCATGAGAAAACATTATAAGAGCGGTAGAAGGCGAAACAGTGCAGCTTCACTGCAACGGCAGCAACACGTCGGCTTTCAGGAACGGTGAAAATCCTCCATCACAGTTATGGCTGAACGGCACACCACGCAATTTCACGTACGCTAATGTACCTCGGCCATTCGGAAGCGAAGTCAACCGATGCAGCTGTCATGGCACTGTTACTGATTCCACCGTTTCGCGTGAAATCGTGCTGAGCGACACAAATCCGCATAGGGGATCCTTGACGGTCGAATTAGTCGAGTTGACCCATATGCATGCCGGACAGTATGAATGTGTCCAGTATAACGGCAGCCAGTTTGTAGTGACCCAGACGTTCCTAGTCAGTCCGCAAATAATTCCGTCGCAGGTTTTTAGACCGCCGATGCTCAACGTAACAGCAAGAGTAGGTGCCGTTGTGAAACTGGTCTGTGTCGTTCAACTGCGAGTAGTTGTGGGCCGCTTAGCCAGTCGTTTTATCTGGAGAAATAAAGATCATGTGATATACGCTCCAGGAATAACTGAGTATAGGCTCGGTTTATCAATGAAGGATAACTCGGGGGTGTCTGTGTGGACGGCAGCTGATGGATTTTGCAACTGTAATTCGACTTTGACTATCCATAAGGTCAAAGCAAACCATGCCGGCAGTTATCAGTGCTGGTTCAGGACTGATGACCTTTTTCAAGAGTGGATAATGCAAGAAGTGTATCTTAGCGTGATTCCCTAAATCTATGCCACGCCTCGAGTGCAGTCAAAATGCAGATCAACATTGTGAATGGAAGACGGGTTTCAATCAGGTTTTAGCAATGCAAAACACGATCGTGTGTCACTGGCTCATTTTGGGGTTTGCTGCCTTCATGCCGGAAACGCATTCAATTGTGCATCCTAATTTCGTACAGCTTTTATGCATTTTTTAATTTTTATTTCATGCTCGGATGTGATTTCTCTCCAGTGTGTAGTTTGTAAGCTTTGGGTTTGCCTAGTTGCTGTGTAATCAAATCTTGCGTATCGGCGATGGAGAACAGTCGACTGTTCCGGAATAGAGTGGAAGTATAAACAGTTTTCTCTTTTTTTAGGTTACACTCTCCTTGTACCCACCAGTTAAAATTTCTTTTTTGC